GTGAGGCTGACCAGTCTGTAATTACCCGGGTTGTTAAGGATGTTTTATTTATATGCATATATTTATGAAATACAACATTGGCAGAGAATTTTCAGATAGACAGAACAAGAAGAAGTTCCAAAAGTAAAGTTCCTTTGCTATCTTACAAGGTGGTTTATAGAAATGCAGCTTCTGTCTTCTCTACTCCATTAAAACTGCTTTCAAGAGATTGGGGTAAGTGTTAGAGAAAAGTTGAAATTTTTCTCCACACTCCCTGTTCATACAGTACAGTTTGCATATTAACAAGCAGCTGCAGCCACTTGCTGTAACCTCTCTTATGACAAAAGCCATGCAAGCCCTCTTAAACAGAAGGCCATATAGGAAGAGCTAGTCACAGACATCATGCAAATATAATTCATAAGTTGTACATGGTTCGTGTTCACAAGTTGCTGCTCCTACCTTCTTTTCTATATATGATTTCGTGATCAGCACTTCATCAGCATACTTGACTTCCTTTTCGCGTTTCAGTATCCCACTTCCATCTTCACGTACTTTCCAGATAAATATAGAGCCATCCTCTGAGGCAGTCAGCAGAAATAAGTCATCATTTGTTACAGACATCTTAGAAGGAAGAGATGACAGAATAGCAGAGACAAGGAAGAATGGAGACATAGTTTGATTTTATATAAACATTTTCTCCCCGCTCACATACTCCCTGCCATTTCTACGAGTGAATCAACAGTGGAAAATAGTAACATAGCCCCACTACCAACATTTTGACTATGTCCTCTACTCCTACTCCGGACACCAGAGGAAAGGAAAGAAAAGAAGAACATGTGAAGACACTGGATCTGCTTCTGATCTCAAACTGTGGAAGAATTTTAAAAATCTGCAACAGAAAAGATCTCAATAGTTATAGCACAGGCAGGCAATTTATATGACTATTCCAAAGGTCTCTAGCTTTCTTCTTTGAGAAGTTGTTTGAGCAACAGATAGCTAAATGTTTTCTTTTGAATCTGCAAATAAGCTCACCAAGAACTATCTAGTGATGACTGTGACCTCTTCCAGACCTCCTGTAACTGCGTGGCCTGGCATAGAGTATTTGGGAGCTCACACAGCTTATGAGCAAGGTAGAGTTCCAATAAATGAAGTTCATAGCCTAATGTTGGACTGTGCAGCTTACCTCTAAGTCAAGGTGCTGTACTTGACAGTGATACTTAATAAGCCTAAATTACAAACAGCTTTAACAAGACAGAACATGTGGCTTCCTGGAGAAAGTGTACTGAAATGTGCCATGGTTGCAGGCTCTCATATCCCCACCTTTCAGATGCTGTTCATTGGCCTTTTAGAAATACATTCAGACCAGCAATCTATTTTGCTCTTTACCCTGGCAGAAGGTTGCTTAATATATTTGTCTCATTCCTTCTCCTGTTATCACAAGAGGTTTTCAAGCCTGCATAGGTTTATCTTCCTCTTTCCAGAAAGTGCCATATCAAAGTTCTCCATCAGGCATATGCCACGTTACATATCCTGATGCAAGCCACTTTCTGGCCACCAACAGCTTATCCAGGTGACATCTATTTCTAGAGGCAAGACTTCTACGAATGCTGTAATATTTATTCTCCATGAGCAGGCTTATCCTTAGTTTTAACACACTGTGCTGTGAAATGGGAAGGAGAATCAGTGCTAAAACAGATGTGTGCAGATGGTATGGCAGGGAAAAGGAAGCACTCAGTGTTACCTTTGTCACAGCACCTGCATGGGCCCAGTACTCATTGAAATTCCTCATTAAACGTAATGGGTACTTCATAGCTCGAATTGTCCCCAGAGATGTACCAACAAAAACCATGTGCCCAGAATGAGAAGCAGCTACAGCAGTGCAGACAACACCAAAGGTAGGCGCTTCATGCTGGATCTAAAAAAACAACAACACACAAACCCCGCACGTTAGGTTGAGTTTCCCAATACCATTTGATTACTTACAGTGTGAACAATTGTCATACCTCTGCCTGCAGCAAATAATGCAGTTAAAAGAATCTACATGCCTGCAGGAGTAAAGCCATGAACAGTAATTAGTATTAAGCTTTACAGATATGCACTCTTAAAATTTCAAGTTCCACATGTTGATTACTTCTGAAGGGCAATGGTTATCACAAACAGTTTACTACTTTTCTGGGGAAAAAAACCCCTGTAGCTTACAGTGGTAGATGCAATACACTTGTATTTCAGCAAAACAAAGTTAGTTAGCTAGGTTAGAATATTTGTATGTAAATCCAAGTAAAGCTGTAAAAGCACAAAACTGCAAGAAAACTTTGGATTTCATGGTAAAGAACGTGAGATCACAAGAAAAGTGTCAGTAAATATTGCAGCTATGAAAAGCAGATTGTAAGGACACCACTGGTACCCTCCCCAGGGAACTTAGTAAAATCCCAGAGTGCTTGTTAGCTCACCAAAGACTCTGAAATTTCCTTGAGAGTTTGGTCAGATCCAACAGCAAAGATGATTTTGGCATCAGAAGACAGGGCAATGCTGCTGTAGATACAGGACTCGCGCACACACTCTGACTCCCTTTTACCTTCCAGCAAGTTCCATTCGTATACAGCCCCATGTGTGTCACAGGAGACAACTTTAGCATCATCTGCACTCCATTTAAGTGCATGTATCTGGCAAAAGCAAAGCACACCAGGGAGCCCAATGAGTAGGTTATAGACATACAGCATGGAGTCATTTTACTGATGAATACATTACAATTTTGGAATCATACGTCTAAGTCTTCCTTAAAAATCCCTAGATGTATATCAACTAATTCCATTTTAGCACTTAAAAAAATAATCAGTAAGAATGACTTTATGAACACACCAACAGGAAAAAGCTCATTTTATTTTTATAATTTATTATGGGGATATTTTTCCTGGTTCAGCTGCCTGCCAACTATTCACCGTGAACTTAATAATAGACTCTTTAGATGTAGCTAGTGCATGCGCACATTGACTTCTGACCAAAGAAAACTGACTTTTGTGTTTCTATTTTTTTATTTTTGGGCCCATTTCTGATCCCAAACTGTACTTTACCTTTCAAAATGCACCTTATCAACTAGCTCATACTTTAATGAGTTGTACTGTATAATGTTTACTAACCTTCCCACTGTGTCCTTTCAGATTATTAATATTCTCAAAGGTGATGCTGGAATAAATTTGAATCACATTTCCATTAACTGCAGCAAAAAGATGGCCTCCATTGCTGAATGAGCACTACAAAAAGAACATAACCACCCATTACCGTAGATGCAGTGGATAAAAACAGTCACGCATTGAATTCCAATGGCTTCATCTAATATCCAAATGTTACACAAAAAGAAAACTCCATGACATTACCAGCCTCCTAGTGCTTTCTTTATTGGTGCTTTCCCCTGTGAAATTTAGTCTTTGAATATTTCTCAACAAACTACCCCTTCTGCTGCTTCCTGGGTCCTCAGTTATGCATCAGCCTCCAAGCTTATTTTCCAATATTTGGAATCCTTTTCTCTATGTTTTGATAGTCTAAATCCTACTAGGATCTATTAGAGAGGTTTCTATCTTCTGTTGTGTTCTTCAAGACTCTGCTCCCTTTCACTCCCCAATTTCATTTTTGCATCACTTCTTACCTCTCTACACTTTCTTACAGGAAACTCCTTGAAAACTTGCATGTCCTCATACAGTAAACTTATAAATCGTAGTTTCTCAGAAAACCCAACCAAACAGAAAAGGCCAGTGGGATGAAGTGATACTGTGTATGCTTCCTCCTGAAATTCCTTATACAACTCCAGGGTGCTGAAAGAGAAAACCACTGTGCAGGATGGAATAGTACAAACTCCCTGTGCATACTTGTCAGGACATTATCTGGCCTGGCAAGGACGCCTGCAGCTACAATTTGACTCTGCCTTGTCCCTGGGGAAATGTGTTGTCACATTCAGATAAGTTATGATCACACAGATGTTACAGGAAACAAAGGCACATCTGAACTTTCTGGTTCACAGAGGTGTGGAAGGTGCAAGAGCAAAGCCTTGTTTACTGTAAAATAATGAAGATAAATGAACCACTGATTGCAAACTTAAACATCTCTTCTGATGTGCTTTTCTGCCCCTCTCCCTCCATATAACCTTAAAAGCAGGAGTCATTCTGCTTAAAATCTATGGCTATGGAGTGGGGCATGAGACAACAGTCTCTTAAGACAAATTTCCAAAACACATGACAAGTCTGACATAAAAATGGCTTAATAGAAAAGGCTTTGGATTCTCCTGGCACTGGTTTTGAAGGCACTGTGTATTCACACTCCCCAAATCACATCAATAAGACCGTTTACATCCCACACTGTACAAGAATTTATCAGAACAAACCTCATTCATATGAGAACGCTGCTCTTCCCTGCAAAATGCAATGTACAAAAAAGCAAGAGGTAATAATGAACACAAACAACACTTTACTTTGTCTTGTAGTTCCAGATGCGGACAGATCTATCCAGGGAACAAGAAGCAAGAATGGGTTTCCAAATACAGGTGTCCAGCCCAGTGATGGAAGCAGAATGCAGTGGGAAATTCAGATATGCAAAATAAGCTGCCTTTTCCTGACAAGCAATGAGAACAGCAAAACATCACAAATAGTTCACTGCAGGCAGTAAGTCACGTAAGAAATCTATCATAGCTCTTTGCATACAGTAATCAAATAGATTTGAGGAAACCACTTAATCCTTTCACTGCACCAGTCTGAACATAACAATGTTAAAAACATAACAATGTTAGAGTCAGTTTTAGCTTTAATTAATGATCAAGAAAAACGATGTAGGGAAGATGCTCTCCTACACTGGTGAGAGCAAAACGTAACTGTAGGCATCCAAAGAAACGCAAGTTGGATAAATAAATAAAACTAGACCTGTAAAAATTCAGTTAAGAACCTTCTGTTCAGACAGATATTTAAACATAATCAAGTGCTGAGTGATAAGCAACTTAACCAGGATGTTTAGTTAGCACATGCTGAAAATGAAGCACCAATAAAACTTTAGGCTGCATGCAGAAAAAGGACTCATAACTACAAAACAGTTTCCTGTAAAAATCTTTCTAGACACTTTCTATACTCAGGTATTTAACTCTGTGCAAGTCTATTTCATGATAATACATTTAACTCTGGCCCTTGTATTATTTAATTCTTTCAGTGTAG